ACTAAAAAATTTAGATTAAAAGTTTGAATTTTCCATATTTAAAAATTTGGATTCAGATGGAGATCCGAAGTTATAAAATATATATCATATAGAAATCCATGGAATAAAATGAATTTTAAATGGATTGGATTGAAACAAAGTGGATCAAATTGAGAGAAGTATATTTTTTCTCCCCCTACTTATTACAGACTCGGACGTGAATGGAATTGTTTGAATTACCACAAGAAAAAGTTAAATGGAGGATGGCAACGCGGCAATGTAACTAAATACTTTCAAAATTAAATTAAATTTCTTTATTTAATTACCTAATTAAGTAATCAATACATAAATCCCATACACATGACACGAAACGTAAAGCATGGTTGCAATTTGTTTGTTCGACTTAAAGAAGCATGCGAAGAACAAAACCTCTAATTTAAACGAGACTAATAAAGAAAAGTTGAACTTTGCATGTGATTTTAAACTTATACTTGATATCAATTTTGTAAATTTTATTATGTTTTTAAGAGTAAACAATGCATGTATCAATTCACTTTTATCTAATTACAATTTACAAACAGGGTATATGCAAAAAGTTTCTTCGTTTAATATTTATTTTGAAAATCATATTAACGTGGTTTTTTATTGGCTGAAAATGTAATACTTTTAAGCTATAGAATTTAATACTCGTTATCTAAATATAGTTTTTAGCTGCAATTCACTTCCCACTTATGTCATGTGTGAGATGAGTTGTCGGTTGCATGCCTAAAACAGAATATGTTTTATTCTTTTATAAGAGAAATTATGTATAATAAATTATACAACAATTCACACACGTACGAGGGAGAACAAAACGAATTGGAATATATAATGGAAAATAATAAATTTGACAGTGTAAAATAATCAATAAAAAAATAAATTTGGTGTTCCAATACGAAATGAGAATGTAAAAAATGGAGAGATAAGAAGATATGATATAAAAGAAGTTAGATTTAATCAAAATAGTAAAGATAATAATAAAAATAATAAGCTATGAGTTATATGTTGAATCAAACTAAAATAAGTGGATTGGTATTAATTGATAAATAAAATTAATTATTTAACAGTTATGAAATTATTAATTATAATTAATACATTTGCCTGTGCTATTAGTTTTGTAAGTTTTGAATCGTATAATTTCATTTTTCAATTTTTTATTTAGGTAAAATATTTTACTTATTATTACATAAACTAATTATTTAAATATTTAATAATTATTAATAATTTAAAAATATTAATGTCGATAATGTTTTGGGTAAATCTTAGTTGATTTTATTTGTTAAGTTAAAATCAACATTTTTTTCAATTAAAATTCGCAAAATAAAATTTCTTCCTGACACATGAAAATAAACATCCTAACAAGGAGATTAAAATTGAGAAATTACAATATGATTAAGATCCATCTAAAAGGAGTTAAACGTAAAATGATAAATTATTTAAGAATCCCTTTGTATGTATTTAAATTTAATTTAATTAGTAGTATGCTTCTAACAAATAGTTAAAGAGCTTACATGTATGGCATGAAAAAAATCTTTTAAAAATCAAATTGAATAATTATTGCATCTTATGGAATTTTTTTTTTAGCTTTGTATTCTCTTCCACTTTTAAAAAGGACTACATTCCACCCTCTTTTATTTTCTCTCTTTTTCTAAAAAAAATGTTTGACCAAATTCAATGCACCTAAAAGTTCGTCTTAATCCTTATAGTATCAGATAATGTAAATAAATATTTCTAATTAATGTTAGTTTCAATTCAATTAGTTTACATAATGTGGATATTAAAAGATAACATAAAAAAATTGTAAATATTTTATTAAAGTTAAGAAAATTTACTATATTTCTTAGTATATTATATTTAAAGCGAATTTTATATTTGTCAAGTCGAAAGAAACGAGAGAAACTATTTGTGACTCGTTTTAAATATTTAATTAAGATCATTATATACATCTTTCTTTTGCACAAAAGAAATCTGAAATAGTGACATAATTTTCCGAAAAATGTTATAAATAGGAATTTTATTAAATGAAGATGTGAGGATTTTTTATATTTTATCTTATTTTTAAGAAATTAATTAAAATCATCGATATATTTTCTCTTGACATATTTATCAATATATATAAAACTGTTTCATCTTAACTATGAATTTTTTTTTTCAAATTCCAAAACCATGATACTTTGTTCACTTGGAAGAGAATAATTGAGGGAAAGTGAGTAGATGTATTTGAGAAAATTTGAGAGTTAATTAATTATTGTTTATTTGAGTGGATTAGGAGGTAAATGAAAGTGGATTTGGAAGGAAAGTTTATGAGAATTAGTGTTTGATTGATGTGATAGATAAAAAATTTAATTGGTAAAAATTGAAGATTACCAAAATGTCCCTAATTATTAAAGTAATGTAAAATGATAATTGTTAAAGTTATATATAATTATAAAAATGTTTATAAAAAAAATTAATTATTTAATTATTTATTAATATAGATTAAAATAAAATTATTTAATTATTTATTAATATAGATTAAAATAAAATTATTTAATTATTTATTAATATAGACTATTAAATTTTTAAAATTAATTTTATCATCTTAAATTAATATTATTGTTATAATAGATTTTAATAAACGTTTTCCAATGTTTTTAAATCCTTTTTATTATTATTAACAGTAGTTATACAAAATATATTATTATGATTAATTGATTTTTTAATTAATTTTAATTATTTTAATTGCACCTTAAATAAAATTCATTTAAATCAATTACACCTGAAATTAATAATGAAATAAAGCGAGGATAAAATTAATATTTTATATCAATGGCCTTCAAATCTTCTCCTATCAACGGTTGATAAATTGATCTTGTATCCTGCAAATCACCTTATTCTCTTCCTTTCAAATTGTTGCAAGTGAACATGAATTTATCCAACAATCCATCTTTCCCAATCTTCTTAAACAGTGAAATCATCCAAGTGAACACTAACAAATGTTTAAAAAATGAGTGAACAATTTTATAAAATGTTTAAAAAAATGTCACCATCACTAAAAAGTGTGTTGTTGCGATGACAATACAACCTTTGCAAAAAGAAAATAAAACATTTAAAAATAATATTTGAAAATATTTTATTGATTAATAACTAACTTTTTTGCATCAATAATATATAAAAAAGTTAAATTTATTTCTCATAAATACTTGTTTTTATTTGTTAAATATAATTAATTCAAACATCAAATATCGATACTGCTCTCTCAATACGAATAAACTCATTTGTATGTTTTGGTAATAGTTATAGTTTATTTATGTTTTCTGTGGTATGTTTCTTATTATGAATCTGAAGTAGTTTTTAATGTTTTGTATTTTTTTAATTTATTTTTAATAAATTTTATGTAATGATAAATAATTAATGGATTTTGAAATATTAATTAAGATTTCAAATTTTATAATAATACCTAACATGACTTCGTTTGAAAAATAAAAAAAAATCATACCTTATATATATTTCAAATTTATTTGTTTAAAATATATGTTGATATTAATAATTACTTAATATAATATCATATTTTAATAGTATTTAACTATTATAAGATTTCTAACATTGAGTAACAATAAACCGAGAAATATACATGGTATAATTGCAATTATTATGTTCTAAATATACAAATATCAAACTCAGTGTCAAAACTCTTGCATTTTCTCTCATTCAGCGTTAACAACCTCTCACTCGATTAATTAATTTCAATTAAATGTTAAACTTGTAGTGGTAACAGTTGTTTAACCGGGTGTCTGTCATCACTTAACTTCAAACCATTTACACTTTGATATGCTTAGTGAAACTGCGCTCAACGCCATACCAGAAAAGTCACAGCTTTAAATTTTGTGGTTTGAAGAACTAAGGACTTGTGCAAATGATCAAATTGTTATTTTGATTCATGCATAATTAAAAACTATAAGTTATAATGAATACCAAATTACTTAAATGGTTAGATTCTCAATTCCTTAACTTCACATCAAACAACCAAAACACACATACATTCAATCAACAATCACAGCAACAATTCTACGTACAAACACATCAATTTTAGACTTAATAAAATATTCATCACAATTTATCAAATCAAAAAAATGATAATTAGCTGTTTTAAGGAATTTAGAATGATCCCCTAGCCCGATAAACTCTATTTGCCTATACAATCTACAAAAATATAATCAGGATACACTAAGGATCATTCATCAATAAAAAGTACTATGAAGAATTTAAAAGACATGCGTTACTAAATTTTTCACATGAATAAGAAAAATGTAAACTAAGAATAAGAGAAAAAATTAATTTTCTTTTTTACGAATTGATCGGACAAACTTCAAAACTTTACCATAATAATCACTAAAAAAGTCTATAATATTTAAACAAATTAATTGTTAAAAGACTCATATAAATAATATATTTTAAATAATAAAACTCTTTTAAGTAAATTTTTATATATACTTTTTCGACCTTTAATATTAAAATAAACAAGTTTTAATATTTATAACATATTATCATTTATAACATCATAGTTTAAATGCCGTTACACTTACTTCTTTAAAATATTATATAACAATATCGTGATTATCATGACATATTTTACACAGTAAATTAAGAAGAACTTACGTTAAGATAATTTTTAAGAAAAATATTATAAAAATAAATAAATGTGTCATTAGATTTATATAAAATTAATTGCAATATATTTCCATACGCTATTCAATATGTTTTTAATACAAAATTTACTATATTATATTAATTGTGAATGTGGAACTCTGAATTTAATTGCAGAACAGTGCTAGACAAATCTAATTATCTGCATTTGACTTTTCTTTCCAAGAGAAAAGTTCTGTTTTGTTTTTTCGGAAACCACATTACATTACCTAAGACAAGGCTTTTCTCGTAATTTCATACGGTCCCTTGGAATCCGCATCTACATCCACCTTTGTGTTCACAATTTACATGTTTCATGATATTTTTTTAATATAAAAAAAGGGAAAAGAAGCAGAGCAAGAACGAACACCTCAAAATCTCTGCACTTGTTCATCTTCAACTCAGCTACTCAACAACGACACCAACATCCTCATCCACTCCGCACACTACTTCTGTTGTCTCAAGGTCTGTCTCCTTTCTCTCCCTCTCTCTCCTCTTCCTACTCTAAACACACACAAATCTCAAAGTACATACCCATGTTTGTGTCTGTAAACAAGTTGAAAAATTGGGGTAGCGGAGGATTAGATCTTCACCTTAAACAATTGACCCAGAATTTTTTTAGATTCCAAGAGTTTGTTTCTGCGCCTTTTCATTTATGGGTTTCTGGAATTTGTTTGATCAAGAATTCATGATTGCGGTGCTGATTGTTCCCGCACTTGCTTCTGTTTCGGATTTAGTGCTTTCGAGATCTGGTCTGAGAGAGTTACAATTTTTTTTTTTATGATGCTTTGCGAAACATGAGTAATTGTTTTGTCATGGAAATTTGTAAGTTGGCGTAAGTGTCCGAGTGAAACCCGAGTAATTAGACTGGAGAGTTTAATTGAACAAGTGCCAATTGTTTAGTCTGATTAATTGTTCTTTTTCCCACTCATTTCACATCCAATTTTCATTTTTAATGGTAAAGTTTTAATTTTCGAGTGAATGCGGTTTGGACGCATAATCAACTCCACTCGTTTCTTTGTTATCTTTGGTTTGTTCATCTTTTCTGTTCTCACATCTCTATTTCTTTATTTTCTTTTTTTCGGCTGATGTTACCGACCGACCGGTTCATGTGATCCTGATATGTAGATGAATTCTAACAATGATTACAATGATATTGTCTATTCAAAATTCTGTATGAATTAGAGGATTTTTATCTAATATTTATGAGAATCCTGGACTGGAGTTAATGATGTTTTAGTAAAGAGGTTATGGGAATTGTGAATTGCTTTCTGCAGATGCTATGTTGGTGATTTAGTATTCCATTTATGCTTAATTTGTGAGTTCAGGCCGAAATGATTGAGTTCGATAACCTTTGGCCGGGGTTGTATCCATGGTGGTTCTTGATGATGAGTGTGAACTTCTCTCTGAAATATTTCGCATGGGGTGAAAGATTATTAGCCCTTCACATTAATCAGAACTTATGATGACAGTTAGTACTGCTAACTAATGACTAACACTAGCGCTGGGGTGTTTGGTAGGGGGATTCTTCTAGGTTTCATAGA